CCTATATTTGGGTCAAATCTTTTCTAATTCGGAATGTAACTGACAAAAGTGAGGTTTTTGAGAGATCTGACCATAACTGAGCCAACCTTTTCACTAACATGCCAGTCAATTTCCACCAAATGTGCTGCTCGTTGGACAGTCGCACATTGTACGAACTCAACAGATTCTTTCACTGGAAATTAGACCTGTCAATCTCAGCACATGTGTTGATCCGGGTACATTGTAGGAGAGCAGGGGTGACCGACGGGCAAGGATTATCTTAAAACTGTTACCGAATTGAAAAGTGCACTGATTTCCTGATTCCATTGTTTGAACATTTTCAAACAGTGCAATCATCCAGCATCTGATTGGACGCTCGCACCGAGATTACATAACCCGAATCCTAGTTGTGCAGATCGCGGGGGGTTCATAAACCGAACAGTCCTCGTATATTTTGCGCTGCGTATATCCGTTGCCTACTATTAGGTCGCACAGCACTATATCACAGGAGAAAACCACACGTGAAATTAACACAACATATAGCACAGTAACAATAGTAGCACACGGGAAACGAAAACAGCGGACTAACACTAATTTCGTGAGCGGATGATAGTTCTAGGAGCAGAAGCTACTTAGGCAAAACACAGGATGCACGGTCGGCCATCGATCTCTCAAGCCTCCCCAAAACACGCGAGAGAAGACACGGCTTCAGCAGCACGGGATTTTAATGACGTTGAGCACAATCACAAGTCGCGAGCCAATTTACAAGGTTTACTTTGCTGCTTATGTGTCTGAAAATAACATTGATCAATGCAAGAAAACGAATATACCAATGAAATACACAGTGTTCAACCGGCCATACGCTACGGATCAGACGGACGGGGAGAGTGAATATTGCCGTACGACGCACTACTATTGATTTATCGCCGCGTGATTAGTATTGATCCGCGATGACCCTAATTTGGGTCGAATGTGTTGTGAAGTTGTTTGATTTTGTTCACAGAATTAGTAAGCGTGCTTATCTTGGGACGAATAGCATTGTTCTTCGTCCCAACAGAAACAAATAGCATAACTTTCATAGTCCGCAAAAAACAAAACTTTCTATAACAAATATATTCGCTTCGTCAGCTTTGATATCACGTTCTCACCTTCGGCTGATCCACCAAGATTCACTCAAACCCCAACACATTTTACTTGATAAAACTCAAAACAGATTGCCGTTCTTTATCCAATTTTATTCAATATTTCGGATTACTCATTCACTATCAAAAACTTTGGGTGTGTTTATATCCAATTTAGTCTTTTAATTTTAAATAACCGAGATAGGTACAATCTCTCTTCGGGATGTCATATATGCCCATCATTGATTGATCCAAACATCATGATCTCTGTCTCTGAGTGTTGTTGGTCCATGATTACCTGCACTAGAACACACGCGAGGCATAATGACGCACGAGATAGCCTGACGTTTACCCGAATCCATCCGAGTCTCCGGGTTCAGTCAGTATTTGAACACGAGAAACTGACGGGCGGATTTCACTTTTTCGCAAATTCCACAGCTCATTCCGTTATGCAAGCAATTCAGAGGCACTAATTTCGAATTTTCCTCATCTCTAGTGTACATGTCCACATTGGTCAGCTCCGGTGCTGTGACGGGGCCAGGATTCAAATCCCTGACTGGGAGGTAATTTGATAAGCACTGCGCGAAAGAGAAGCCGGTTCTGTGCTTCCCGACCGGAAGAGACGAGCAGAGGATGGTGCTTAAAGGTGATTTCTACATCAACAGAAAAAAACAAGGATAAATACCATTACCCATTACCCACAAATGTAACTGTGAGTTGAAAATGGAAACTGAATTTCTTGTTCCATGAGTGTTCCAGTTGGGATGTTTTGCATATATAACTCGCTCCATTCGGGTCTTCACAGATTAATAATAAACATACTTCCCGATTAACGGTTTCTTCGCCTGACTAGAATCCACCAGTCAGCACATTTCCGTATAGAACTAGTTTTGTTGCTATGACAACTGTTCCCCCACAATGCTGCACGCATCACCAAATCCTGTTCAATTGGATCACATCGTTCCCCTGTTTATGCTACCGATATGGGATGCGTACCCAACCGGGATCAGTTACTTCACGAGCCCAACTATGCTAGCTTGGTAAAAACCACACACGAAGATACTTCCCGTGCGGTAGGGAAAGTTGCAAACTACCTGGTGAGTCCTCACGTTTATCAGCAAGAGCAGACCAAGATCCAAATAGCGTGTGACAAGTGGGCGACTGATTTACATTCCCCAGGGCAGGTGTGCGCAGGGTTCATTCATGTGACAGAGTGCATGGCAGATCACCACTTAAATGGTACTATTAATGTGTACCAAAAATGGCTACTCCTTAAATAAATAAACGCGATAAGACAGTACATATATTTAAGGGAGAATAAACATTCGTGGGCTGCGATCAATATGGTTGCATATGATTCTTTTTGTGATACTAAACCAGTACGTCAATAAGCCAAAGAATCTCTGTATACCACCAACTTCAATCGTTACTTAGAAACCAAAACTAGTGCATTTATTATAATGAGCTGTTCTTCTTTTACAACAAACAACTGTATTTTCACAAATTGAAAAGAGACATGTGGGTGGAATTGATATAGACCATCTATTTCGCGTACTCCCACTAGCTCTCCGTCAAACAACGGTAAACACACATAGATACAGTCACGTCAAATTCAGAACATGCAAGTTCAAATCTTTTGAATAAACATTTTTTTTTGTTTTCATGCTGGTGATTACATCATGTCAGTTGCCGCCCAAACACCACTACCATCACCATCACTATTAACAAATTTGGTCATTTGCATTCCATTCACAGTTACACGTGACTAATGGTAGGTGATAAAAGTGGCTGAGTTGAACTGAATATCTTTTAGACTTGTTCTCCACTCACGATCATTATTTTATTCAGTCACGTGTATATTCAGGAAACACCTTGCTCAAGTTTCACTCTCAATGAAGTTCATCAGTAGTGCTTATCCACCGTTCCTGTTGGGCTTAGAACTCCAGATCCCGCACGTGGGAGGTGTGTGTTACCATTTTCCTAATCATCTCCACTCGAGGCCGAGTAGAATTTCCCATACATGTTTGTTCAAATTTCATCTTCAAATGTAGTCAGTCATCATGTTTGGCCCGCCATCAACGAAATGAGACACTGTCTACGATCTACGACCTGTCGAAAGCCTATCACTCGAACATTTCCACTATGTAAACTTGGGTTTACGGTTCCGATTAAATTTCCAAGACCATTCTGTTCTCTAGCTTTCTGTTACCCTGGAATCGAAGCCAATTACGCAACCCGTTTGTCCACCACCTTGTTCTGACATCTTAATTCAAGTTGCATGCTTTTATTTGTTTGAAATGATTGTATAAATGTTGGCTTGCAGGTGGGAATGAGACAGCATGTGAGATTCATGGTCAAGATTAATTTTGACCACATATATCTTCTCGTGTTGCTGAAATGCACAATGAACAAAAGATGATGACGATGATTATGACTCAGATGATGATGTTAATGATGAAGCAGTGAAATTGTGCTATATTGTATCATTTGGGGTTTACGTACTTGTTTCCACAAATGGCCAATTTAGTGTGCGCCTCAAATGGTAAAACTCATAAAATGCACTTCGGAAAATAAGTGGACAAACTCACTTGGCTCCCAATCGGAATGGGGAAACAAGTCTAGTTCAGTAACGAGAATTCCTCGCCTCGATGAATCGCAAGTTCAGGTGAATATATTAACTATTGCATAGTGAATCTTGTACCTATATGGATGGTTTCTGTTGTGGAAACGTCCTTGGACCTTGAAGTCGCATTATATGTATGTACTTTGTGGCAATAAAAGACAACGGAAGCAAGAACGAGAATTGTTGTCTCGATGCTAGTGGGCAACACATTATCGGTCTGCTATGTACACTATAGATCAGGGAGAGTTCCGGTTCCGACGTTGGATTTTCATGGTTCAGATTTCCATAAGGAACTGGAAAGCATTCGCACGAACGGGACAATGCAATTGAGGTGAAACAGTTTTTGTGAAGCTTGTTGGCCATTGTGTAATCCTGACTGCAAAAATGATTTTGGGGGTATTTGGATAAAACTGTGTTCTTGTCTGAAAGCAATGTTATACCGTCACAAATTCGAATAGAAAAGTTAAAAACATGGGTTTGCACAATGTATCTATCATTTCGCTGCATCTGTACACGTGTGTACTACAGTCAACATAATATCATAGTCAGTGAAATAACAGTCGTAAGTTTAAAGTAGTCTGATACCTATACTTGAGGAGCTTCAATCCGAAACAAGTATAGATACGGATTGGCTGGTTAGTGGTGTCTAATAATCTTCTCAATCAATTGGTTTATGTTGCATCTAATTAGGTCATTAATTGCTGTTAGAAGGCCAGACGTCCGTTGGTAATGAACTATCAATAATCACACGTGATCGTGTAACTCAACGGACAGCAAATCATACGAGTGTACAGATTTGCTTAAACAAAGTTGTTGTTGTTGTTGTTGTAAAGCCTAACTATAGTCCTCTCCCACAATTCTAACTAATTCCATCGATTATTCCATTAATTCTATATCAAAAATGAAAATCATTCATTGTTAATACTGCTCAGTTGATCATTATTAAGTTAATTTTTCGTTACAAGCATCGTACGATCAGCCGTTCCGCATCCTATGATCACGTGATTTGGTCGTGGTTGGCCTCAATTTGATTGCCCCCTGGGTCATTATCTATCGATTAGCGCACGGCTGATCTGGCTGGTTTCGATCAGATTGCATATTTTCGAACAGCCTGAAATACAGGAATCAGGCTGATCATGGCTATCGTGTACTAACTGAGAACCCGAATTGACCCAATTCGAGGGTATTCTCAAGTGACCCAAACTCAGCACTATCGATCACCAACCAACGAAAAACCAGAAATTAAAGGAAGAAATTGTCTATCGAATCGGGTCAGAATGCTGACAGACGAGGAAATCAAACAAAAACAAGTGAGTTCATTTTTTTTCTGGGTAACTAATACAATTGATCGCACAATTTCAGTTATGCTCAGCAGGTTGTATATATCGGATAATGTGTTGTCACACATCGTTATTACGCATCACACCACATATATTCCTAGATTGTGATAGTAATTGAATAAAAATTGAGTCCTATATGAAAACATGATAACTGAGTTGTACGTGTTGGATAGAATATTGAATATCGGTAGTTCGCCGGTGATGAGGTGATTGTTTTGAAGGGAACTGTTGCTTGCAACGCTTTTTCATCCCATTAGGCAAAATCATTACTGTGACACCCTTATCACGAGCAGCGAACATACAAAGCTCAGCTCATTAGGTTGTTCGACCAGAAGGTCTAGCCACTGGTCTAGACACTGTTCTGATTCAATATACTGGGATTTGATTGAATAAAAACAAATTATTCCAAGCCGTGACCGAATGGTCAAACTGAAACTGGAACCTTTAACCTGTGGTTAGAGGTGCTGAGTGATGCAGTTGTCGCAGACGG